GCTGGCCATTTGGGCAAGAAACTGGCCTTGCCTTGATTGTTGAGAGTATGCTGTATAAACTGGACAAACAGGACACAATGGAAAAATACTGCTGAACTTTGAGAAAACAAGGCAGGACAGTTCTTCAAAATTTCTGCTTTATAGATGTCTGCCAGATATTCTCAGCCTGTAGGCTGAAGATGGACACCCCAACTTTGCAGAAGAACCTTGGGTAAATGCCCAGGCAGCCAGATGTCTCTATCATTTCTAGAATTTTGGGAATGGCTTGCACTGCACTTCCTGTTTACTCGGGTAATAGTACATCTTTCCAGGGTCTTTCCAGGACTAGATAGTTAGTTACATTTTCCTTAGTTATGATAGAAAATAAAAAGACTAAAAAATGGAGTATTCTCCCCAAATATGCCAAATACAAATGGACTGGACACGGTAAATGTAATACTTACTTCATAATTGTTCTTATTATATATAGTTTTACTTTGTTAGAGTTACAATCTTTCCTCTTTATTTAGACAAAAGGAGGATATTTTGTGGAATAATCAGAAGTATCACTCTGATTGGTTTAATAAAAAGCTAAACAGCCAATAGTTAGGTAGGATTTGGGGGGCAGACAGAATGCTGGGAAGAAGGGGAGAAGCTAGCCAGACATGGAATGAGTTGGACACACAAAGTGGGATAGAGGTAAAAGTCACATGATAGATATAGATTAATGAAAATTTGGGTTAATTTATTAAATTAGAACTAGTAAGAACCAGGCAGTGGTAGCATAAGCCTTTAATTCAAGCACTTGGGAGGCAGAGGCTGGTGGATCTCTATGAGTTCAAGGCCAGTCTAGTCTACAAGAGCTAGTTCCAGAACAGGTCCCAAAGCTACAGAGAAACACTGTCTTGAAAAAACAAAAACAAAAAACAAAACAAAAGAGCTAGTTAGAAACAAGCCTAAGCTATTGGCTGAGCTTTTATAATTAATAATAAATCTCCATGCTTTGATTTGAGAGCTGGCTGGCAGAACAGACAAAGACTAGCTACAACATGCCTCTAATCCCAACACAAGGTGGCCAGGCAGGAAGATCACAAGCCAGCTTGGGCTACACTGTGATGCTGTTTCAAGAGAAGTAAAAACTAAAGCTAAACCATGATGGTGGTGTGTGGGAATAAGTGACTTGGCAGAGAAATTCTATAAATCATACACAGTTTATCGCAGCATGATTTCATAGTTATTATGCGCTCACATCCTTACGGGGAGTCTCATGAGGGCTTACATTTTGATCTCAGGCTTTTCTTATGCTCCCTGCCGTACCCAGCAGAGTTCTGGGCATAAAGTTTCTTTTTCCTATCAAATCCTTCTAAGTGGGGCTGGAGAGGCAGCTCAGCAGTTCAGAGCACTGTCTGTTCTTCTGGAGGACCCGTGTTTAGTTCCAGAACCCACAGGGCAGCTGACAATGACCCATAACTTCACATCCAAGATGATCTCAGGCCCTCTCCTGCTTCCTTAGGCGCTGGATACACATGGTGTACACAGATACATGCAGGCAAAACACCCATGCACATTTTAAAAAATTGATAAAATTTTAAAGAGAGAGAAAAAGAGAGCGAATTGAAGATGGAAGGATTAACTCCCTTAAAGGAGGCAGAAAATACTTCAACATTCAATTTCAACAAATTTTTAATGACTCCTTAATATATACCAGACACTAATATATTCCAAGGGTACAGAGGTGTAATATTCCAGAGTCCCTATATCCATGTAACTTATAAGCTAAGTTTCACAAGGAAAGTAGTTCTTGATTGAGTAAATAAACAAGTAGAAATTAACTCTATAAAAACAAAGGGAAATATTTTACAGGAAAAGGAACCAGTATCAAGTCCAAAGAAAGCCCTAACAGCTTAAAGGAGACAAACATAACAGAAAGAAAAAAGCAGTAAAGGACGGGTGGCTGGAATGTCTTCACACAAATGGAGAGTCACACATGAGTCATGCTGGGGCCCAACAGCATGCCACCCCAAAACTTTTAGAGTTCTACATGACTTGGTTGTTTAGGAAAATATAGTTTATTTTCATATAGTTTATGTCAATCCTGTGCCAGGCAGTAGAGACACAAAGCCATTAGGACACAGGTTCAAGAAACCTGAAGTGTAGCAGGATGCAGATACGCCAAGAAGCCAGTCTGATAAAGCATAAGCAAGTGCGGTAAGAGGAACTTGCTTAAGAATGACACAAAGACCATCTGTTGGATCAAATTATTCGGAGGTGTGCTGCTTTTTTTTTAACTCTGTGAAGCTGTGATTCTCTGCCTAAAACACCTGATGGTCTAATAAAGAGCTGAATGGCCAATAGCAAGGCAGGGGCAAGGATAGGAGGGGCTGGCAGGCAGAAAGACTAGATAGGAGAAACGAGGAGGAAGAGGAGCAGCAAGAGAACAAGGAGAGGAGGATGCTAGGGACCAGCCACCCAGTTAGTCACCGAGTGAGAGTGACAATAAAGATACGGAGAGGTAAGAAAAGGAAAAGCCCAGAGGCAAAAGATAGTTGGGATAATTTAAGAAAAGCTGGCAAGAAACGAGCCTAGCTAAGGCTGGGCATTCATGACTAAGAGCAAGTCTCTGTGTGTGATTTATTTGGGACCTGGGAGGTGGGACCCTCAAAAAGCCAAAAGAGTAAAACATCACATAACAATCCACCTCCAATGTACCTGGGAGACATAGCAAGACCACTTATGAGAGTCAGTTCTCTCCTGCTACCACGGGGTTCCTCAGGCTGAACTAAAATCTTCAGGCTTGGCAGCAAGTGGCTTTGACCTGCTGAGCAATTTCATCTACCTGGTTTTAGCATATTTTTCTCCCCCCCCCCCCCCCGCTTTTATTTTGTTTTTTTGAGTCAGGGTTTCTGGAGCTTCAGAGCTTGTACTGGAACTCACTCTGTTGATCAGACTGGCCTCGAACTCACAGAGATCCACCTGCTTCTGCCTCCCAAGTGCTGGAATTAAAGGTGTGCACCACCACCGCCTGGCTCCAACATATTCTTAATCACTACCCTATACTGCTTCCAAGACAACACAGTAAGAGCATTCCTGGCAAAGGGATTGTAGATACAAAAGAACAGAGAGGAATGGAGGCTGGTGATCTAGAAACAGCTTTCTGGTAGAGCCCTCACTCAGCAATCAAAACTCCTGGAATTTGATCCCAGCACTGTCCCCACCCCAAATCATTTGGGCAGCCCCTCTTCACTGCCTTCTAATACAGATCTGGTTAGACTATGGGTGCTGTGGAATAATCCTTTTGTACACTGTAAAGAGTTGTCGCTCAAAATGGTTTAATAAAAAGCTGATTGGCTGATAGCTAGGATTTTGGGAGCATAAATGCTAGGAGGAAGAAGGGAGAAGTCAGAGGAGACGCTAGGAGATGCAAAGCAAGCAGAATGGGCAATATGAACAGGAGATAATAAAGTCACAAGACAGAAAGTAAATGAATAAAAATGGGTTAATTAAAGTTAAAGAGCTAGTAGAAACAAGCCTAAACTAAGGCCAAGCTTTCATAATTAATATAACTCTTCATGTTTTTGTGGGGTTTTTTTTGTATGTGTGTGTGTGTGTGAGCTAGTGGCCCCCAAAAAGACTCCTTACATATGGGGGCACCTAGGGAAAGAATACAACTAGGATCTAAACCAAGTACTCAGAATGCTACCACACCACCTCTGTTTCTAGTCCCAGATCCCCTCTCACTTCAGAAATCGAGACTGGAGGTGCAAGTGTGTCAGGGACAGCCAGAGCACCTTGGGATGGGTATGGTCACCCTGGATAAACAATTCAAACCAAGGACGAGCTCTAGGCTGCACAAACATTAGGAATCTCAGGTATAGAGAAACCAACCAGGAAAGCTAAAAACAAATCAAAATGCAGAAGAGGCGCAAGGTGACCAGAGATTCACTGCAAGGTGTCTTTAGCACAATCATAATTAATTTAGCATTTATGCGATTATAGCTTTTTAAATTTTTTTTGGTGTGGTGATGGAGACTGACTGGAGGGCTTCACATATGACAAGCAAGCACTCTACCACTAAGCCACACCCCTAATATATTTCTTTTCTTGAGAGCCTTGCCACGTAATGCCTTTTGTTCTTAAACTCTCCATTTTCCTGCATTAGATTTCTAAGTGTGCGGTCTACAAATGTGCACTAGCACACTTAGCTTCACTGCCTGTTTGTGAATGCTCCTCACCTCTTCCTAACTAGTCGGAAGCAAACTTAGTTCCAGGGAGCAAATAACACATTGAAGTCCCTGTGGTCCTAGGTGGAGCTGTGGAGCCCTATATTACAATTCTGGCCAACAAGATGCCAAAGCACAATAAAGCGTCCTCACTTACTCCTTATTAGGTTCGTCTCTAGAGCAGATGGAATCCAACCTGAAACTTTAATCCTTCTTAAAAACTTTGGGGCTGGAGAGATGATGGCTCAGGGGTGGTTGAGAGCATATACTGCTCTTGCAGAGGACCCTATATATACATATACTGCTCTTGCAGAGGACCCTAGCTCAGTTTCCAGCAACCACCTCGGGTAGCTCACAATAACTGTTACTCTAGCTCCAAAGAGCTCCAAAGCCTCTAGTGAACATACCCACACACAGACACTGGTACACATCGTAAGAATACATCTTACCCAGGTGAGATGGTGCAGTGTAGGGGAGGCAGAGGCAGGCAGATCTTTGAGTTTGCAGCTAGCCTGGTCTACACAGCTAGTTCAAGGACAGCCAGGGCTACACAAAGAAAACAAACAACCTTTTAATCAAGGGGGGTGGTGATCCTATGGGCTAGCAACCTTACCCCAATGCAAGAGTAATTGAATTACAGGGTAGCAGAGGTACAGGAATTGATAAAGGTTTGTACAGGGTACGCGAGAAGGAGGAAAAAATGGTCCCTGAAATGTCCCTCATGGTCCCCACAGTAGAACCCTTTGGCACTGCCTCATTATCACAGTCCTTTGCACGTTGTGCTCCCAAGTCCCTTCTCACCTTCAAAGATTCGATCGTGGCTTGCTTGTAAACCTTTCCTCCGAGCTGTTTCTTCTGTGGGCTATTCTGGATCCTGGGCGTTCGGATGACAAATTTATCCATTGTTGGGGGGCTCCAACTACCTTCAGGTGATGGAGGTGTACTCTGATCAAGAAACGGGGCAAAACTTCATTAAGACTGAGATGTGTATTCCCAGAAGGGACACGAATGGATTTTCTAAAAACACTTCTGGATTATGGGGGCTCTTGGGTGGTATTTACAGGAAGTAAGATTTCCTCCCCAGAGAGGAACTCGCTTTTCAAAAACTGAAACCATACAATAAGTTTACTTCCTGGGTTAGGTTCCTTGCTTCCAGAAGGGCACGCTAATGAAGGGAAGAGGATACAACCGCTCGACGGTAGCCCAATCCCAAGAGTTACTTTAAGATCAACAACCATCTCCAGACCTCGGCATAATTCAGCAGCAGCTCCAGAAACCACTGCTCGGTGGTCAGAGGACCCCAACCAGACCCATGAGCAAGAACCCCATCCTTCCCTTGCCCCCAGCACTCGGAAGCTTGGAAAGGGGTTGTCGAATCACAGCTCGACGTGAGACCCACCGGAAATCTCAGCCTGCCTACATTTTAGTCTCTTGACCTCTGAGACCCTCCCAGTCCAGCTTGGGAATTAATTGGTACACTTCTTGTCGGGCCCAGTTCCTCGGTTGTGTGACTCCCGAGAACTACACTTCCCAGAACGCACTGCGAGGCGCGCGGCGGCAGAGGCTGCAGGAGGCGAATTACACGCCTCAGTCGGCCTCGCGGAGAAGGAGGCGGGCGCCTCTCCGTGCCCACAACCGAGAGGGTTGGCCGGGTCCTCGTGCCCGCCCAGTCCCACAGGCGGGCCAGGAGGCAGCAGCCTGGGCGGGCCTGGGAGGAGCCGAGGAACTGGCCGAGTCGGAAGCGCTGGCCGGAGGGGCGGGGAAAGGGGCTGGCCCGGAAGAAGGAGAAACCCTGAAAAGAAAACAGCAACAAGCCGAGCGGCTGTGACAGAGGCGGACAAGATGGCGGCGCCGAAGGGGAAGCTTTGGGTCCAGGCCCAGCTGGGGCTGCCGCCGCTGCTGCTGCTGACCATGGCGCTGGCCGGAGGCTCGGGGACTGCAGCGGCCGAGGCGTTTGACTCGGTCCTGGGGGACACGGCGTCCTGTCACCGGGCCTGTCAGCTGACCTACCCCTTGCACACCTACCCTAAGGTAGGTAGGGCCCATCGATACCGGGCTTCCCTCGACCCTCGCTGCCCAGCTCTCGGCTTCCCACAGCAGTGGCAGCCCGGGGACCCTGGTGAGGAACCCGCGCTTCAGCGTGTCCCCCAGCCCTCGGTGTAGCTGCAGTTTTCCTCCCGGATCCTGCCTGCATCCAGCTCCTGCTGTAATTGCCGGAAGTTTGTGCTGCAGGACTCGGCGATAGGCTGGGGGTGGGGGCCCAAAGGTGAGAAAAGGGCGAGCCCTTGGGAGCCCGCGGGGCCACCGGGGAGTGCATCGCTGGCCGGGGTAGAATGGGGATGAAGGCGAGATCCTGACCTACTAGCAGCGCGGGGGTGGGGAGGAAGGCGCGAGGGCACGCGTGCACAAGATGTTGACTTCTCGTCTTGATCGCGCGCCTTTCTGGGTCGGAAGCGCTTTGTGTTCGGGAGTCTTCCAGGCTGACAGTCGTCTGCGGTCTGAAGTGTGAAGTCAGCCTCGGGAGTTGTGAGCCGCACTGGAAGGGAGGATTTCCTTCCTGTCTGTGTTGAGTGACTGTGTGTGAGACGCTGCCGCAGGGGACTGGATGTCTTCGTGCGGCAGCAGTTAGTTATATTTCTGCCTTCAAAAGAAATATAAAGTAAAATCAACCTCGTCACTCGGTGCAGGCAATAAGGAATGCGTGGAATGGATCGAGAAATGCGACCGTCCTGGAGAAGACCTACGCTGTGCAGCTAGAGGAGGGGCCGATTCCTACCCCTGGCCCCTCCCCGCAGCCGCTGCCTAGCCTTTAATTCTGCCTCCGTGTTTTTCAGCTCCTTCTGAATTCTGTTTACTCAACATTCTAAATTGCGTGGTGACTCTCACCACCCCTTTCCCATATATAATTAGGGCATATACCCCTCCCCACCTTGCTTTGTAAACGCTTTCGCTGATGCTGGTTTGTTTTTTTTTTTAATCCTCGTTTTCCTCGTCTTCTATGTGCTTTTTGCTTAACCATTGTGGCTATCCCTCTTCGCTTCCTTTGGCTACAAAGTGGCCAGGATGACAGATCCAGTGACTTAATGTTCCATACTGACCAGTGCTTTCAGGTATTTGATATGGAAAATTGTAAATTCTATACCTTCCAGCATTTTGTTTACCTTTCATATCTAAGGATCATCTGTTAAAATCAAAACATAAAAAAATCCACAAAATTGTAGGAGATAGGATTAGCCTTAAATTTGCTGTCAGAAATTAATAAATACTTGAGAGAACCGAAGAGCTGAGCATGGTAAAGAACACCTGTAATCGCAGACTACAGGGGACTGAGGTAAGAGGGTCATGAGTTCAAGGCCTGCCATGGGCCAGCCTTGGGGCTGGAGAAGGATTTTGACTTTCAGACTTCAGTCAGTTAACCTCACATCGTTAAAAGGCTTCTACAAGAAAGTTCATCAGTGCTGGTCGGGCTAGAATTAGGCTGAGATTTATTCTATACTGTGTTAGTGTTTGGTTCCCTCTTTTAAGATGTTTTCCTAGCAAAATTGTAGTGTATGTCAGGATGCTGGGAGCATAAATATGTATTTGAAAGACGTGTATACCAGGAACCTCTGAATCTTTCTTGGATGTGTTTGTTGTTGTTTGTTTGTTTGTTTTGAGACAGGATTTCCCTGTGTGGTCCTGGTTGGTTGTTTAGTCTCAATCTTCCTGACTCAGGCTCCCCAGTGCTGCTGGGATTACAGACGTGCCTCACCACGTCAGATGCCTTAAGTGTTGTTATAGCATTCACTACTTTCTAATAGTTGATGTGATATCAATAAGTCATGTTCACTTGTTAATGCTGGGATTTTTGTTTTTGTTTTGAGACAGGGGTTCTCTATGTAACAACCCTGGCAGTCTTGGAACTCTGTAGCTCTGTAGACCAGGCTTGCCTTGAACTCAGGTCCCCCTGCCTTTCCCTCCTGAGCACTGGGATTAAAGGCAGGCTATTAATGCTGATCTTGACCAGAATTCCAAATCATTGGCCTCCTGTCTGTCCTGGACTTAAATTTACTTTGTTTTTGAGACAGGATCTCCTGCAACTCATAACAGTCCTCCTGCCTTACCCTCTGAGTTCTTGGATTATACACATATTTTGGAGTGTTTGTTTGAGACAGTGTTTTGACATAATCCAGGATGGCCTCCAACTAACTCCTTGTTCTCTTGCCTCCATCTCCTAAATGCCAAAACTGAGATCATAGGCTTATCCACTGCACCCACCTCAAAACTGGTTCTCTCGCTGAGCAAGGAGGCACACACCTTTAATCCCAGCACTTGGGAGGTGGAGACAAGTAAATCTCTTAGTTCAAGGCTCGCCTGGTCTATAGAGTGAGTTCCAGGATAGTCAAGGCTATCCAGAAACCCTGTCTTGAAAAAACCAAGACAAAACAAACAAAAAGGGAAATAAAAAGTTAAGCTTCTTACCAGGGTCCTATAACTAAGAAGTAGTGGAGTAGAAATTGAGTCTTCAAGCTGTCTGCTGCTGCCAGTTCATAATGAAGCTGAATTACAAATACTTCTGAGTTATTGTGCATTGCAGTACAGGGGGAAAGCAGGGTGTGTTATAAAAAGGAAATGAATTCAAAATCTCTATTGCCTCTCTTGATCTGATACCTTAACTGACAGAAATATCATTTTAATGACTTTATAATTATTTATTGTAAGAATATAGAGTTTGTAAGTCTATATTTTAAATTAATACGTTTTGCCCTTTGTTCTCAAAGATTCAGTTGTATGATGTCTGAGCTCAAATGTAAGGAACATAAGACATGCTGATAACAGAACTAATTGAGTCAGTGTGGTCAGTTCTTTACAGGGTATGGGCTTCAGGACTATGCAAGACTGTAGTCCTTTCCTGGTTCCCTGTTGACTGTGTTTCCACTGATCATTTGATTTCTTAGAACTGTAGGAAACCACATGTGTGCAGAGCCAGTGTGAAGACTGAAGGTAATCTGATGCATTTAGAACAAGGCCTACCTAGCACAACCAGTGGTAGCTATTTCTTCCCTGCTGTGCAGCCAGGTTTGCACACATTTGCGCTTGTCACACTGAGTAGGAGAATACTTCAAACCAGGTGTGTAGCTCATGCCCCTAAGCCAGCAAGCACTTGGGAGGCTGAGGTAGGAGGATTGCTGTGACTTTTAGGCCAGCCTGGCTTCCAGGGCGCTACCAATCACAAAGAGAGTAAGCCAAAATCAAGGGAGATAGGTAGCTTGACTTAGCTAAGTTAACTAAGGGTAAGAAAATGTACATGAAAGCTATTCAGGTAGCACTGTTGATAATGGCCTAAAATCACTGAGTTATAGTCATTATGATGGGAAGCACGCTTTCCTTATGCTTTATATTAGATTACATTTTCTATAAGCTTGCTAGCCACTTGGGATACATAGAGCATGAAATATTTACCATATTTGGATTTATATTCTGTAGAATACAAAATACTTGAAATAAAAATATGACTCTTTGCTTTTTTTTTTGTTTTTGTTTTTCGACACAGGGTTTCTCTGTGTAGCTTTGGAGCCTGTCCTGGAACTAGCTCTTGTAGATCAGGCTGGCCTTGAACTCACAGAGATCCGCCTGCCTCTGCTTCCTGAGTGCTGGGATTAAAGGCATGCACCACCACCGCCCAGCTGACTCTTTTCTTTTTAAGAAAAGATTATTTTTATTTTATATGTTCAGGTGTTTAGCCTGCATGTCTGTCTATATACCATGTGAACACAGGGCTGGTAAATCAGAAGACTGTATGGATCCCCTGGAGTTAAAGTTACAGGCAATTGTGAGCTGCCATGTGGGTGAGCCTAGATTCTCTTGAAGAGCACCCAATGCTCCTCACCACTGAGCCATCTCCCTAGCCTACTCATTATTGGTGTTAATACATTGTGTTAACACAGCTCTTGGCACATTGTGGGTGTTTATTGACTATTATTAATGTTATATTTATCAGTGCAAGGTAATATGAATGTATAAGCCCTCCTAGTGTGCAAGATTAATGTGAGAGTATCCTCATTCACAACCAAGAGGACACTGAGAAGTCACAGAGGTTAGTAACTTCCCAAAGGTTGTACATGGTAAGAGGTACGGCTAAGCTTTCAGGGTTGATTCCCCACTAGACTTCAGCATGCCATATGGTTTTCTGATGTTGGTTCCCGGTGACTTTTGGAGCTGGTTTAACAAAAGAAAGACTGTCTGAGCTGGGCATTTAGTCACATGTGAGCAATCTCAATACACAAGAGCTGAGTGAGACAGGGGATTAAGAGTTCCAGACCAGTTTATAAAATGTCATCTGGTATAGTTCATGGTAAGAGCTCTTTTTTCTTCCTGCTTCCTGTGTGCAGTATAAGGAAATATGCGGTGCTCCAGAAACAGAATTCTTTTGCTGTTTACAAAGCCTGTAAACTGTAAATTCTGATCATATCTGAGATGTAGTTTTTAATTTAGCTATAAATGCAGCTAGAACCAAGGTCACAAAACGTGCCACCTCCAATGCTGTGTAATAAAACTGACTTCGTGTTGGGCTTGCAGCCATCTCTTTATGTGGGTTATTGCTGCTACATGAGCTTACTAAGTCTTCTGCCGGAAAGAAATGCTCACTGCTGTAGTTCATGGTTGCTAACTGAGATGTGCATGTATCCTCGTTAGGTGCTGGCCAGTTGGTACACAGTGGTTCACACAGAAAGTTGCAAGGGCTCCCTCATATACATAGTTTGTTTAAAATACTGTATTCATCAAAGGAAAGAAAAGCTTGTTGGTCTCATTGCTTATAGTCTCATTATGCAATTACTATTTTCTAAGCATAAAGAACCATCCTGGGGGGACCATCCTATTTTGATTTTTTTTCACACATTTCAATGCTTGTAATTGTTATTTTCTACTTTTAAAACATTATAAAAATAGAAAACATTATGTTAATGTTACTAATATTTATTAAGAACCTCGTGTCTCACACTCTTCGGTAAGATTAGCAGTCTCCAAGAATTGTATTTGGAGATAATAGTGTTGTCTTAGTTCTTGTTGAGAAAACTTGAGGTTTCAACAGGTAAAGTAACTTGCATTGGTTTTGTTGTTGTTGTTTGTTTGTTTGTTTTTTAACCAGAAAAAAAAACTTGATTCTGGTCTAGCTGATTGCAGTAACTGTTCCTGTATGTCACCCTCTTGTTCTTGTTTGGATTCTCAGTTAAAGGCAGCCAATTAAAAAATAAGATAAAAATCTTTGGGACTGTAGGATGGCTCAGCTGTTAAGAGCACTTTCTGCTCTTGCGACAATCCACCTTCTGTTCCCTGTAAGCATGTGGCAGCTCACAAACTCCTGTTAGCCCTGCACACACATGGTACACATATACCGACATGGGCATGCTTGTGTGCATGCACACACACACACATAAACACAATTTTTTTAAAAAAATCTTTTTTAGACATATAGAAATCCTTGCATATGAATATTTGTATAAACAGATACTTCACCTCATCTTTGTTCTGCCATCGTTTTGCCATCCTGCCTTTGTTTTGGCATTTGCTGTACAAAGCTGGTCCTGATACTTTTGCTAATAAACTGATTATACATTTGGATGTAGCTGACCATGCCAAGAGTGACCGTTGGGTAATTGCTAACTCTTTTCTACCTTGTTCAGAGTTCTGATTGTTTATCATTGCTATTTCTAGTTCTAATAGAAATAATTTTCTAAGTTGTAGCCACAGAACATGCAAAAAGGGGGGTATTTTCAGCTGTTTGACTTTTCTCATAGTATCATTTGAAAAATAAGGAGATAGGGACCGAGTTGTTAGAGTGCTTGCC